CACACACACACACACACACACACACACACACACGTTGGACCAGACTTTTTAAAATGATTGTTTTTTCTTTTTATTCCTCTTACAAAAAAATGTGAAACATATTCAGCTATAATGATAATAGACTGAAATCCAATGATGAAGAAATCAATTTCACCCCACGGCTGTCAGTCACTCTTAATGACATCTTGTAGAGGTTGTAATAACCCTCTAATCCATCCTCATATGGAAGCTGCATTTGTATTTGTCTGTTTGCGGACTTAGTTTTTCTGTGTTTATTTATTTCATACTTTTATTTTTTTTAAACATTCAGCTGTTCTAGTTGGCGTTTTGAAATTGGTTTAAGCTGAAGTTTAAGCTGAAGTCAGTGTATGACTTATTGATAAAGCATTAATAACTTACCTGCTTTCTCCTTACCTTTGCTTTTGTGATTTGGGTGAACTGATCCTTTAAAAAGAGGTTCATTTGTTCTTGTGTTTTGCAACAACATTATGTTCAAGAAAGCAGAGGCATGTGTTACTCAAGGCCGTCCTTTCATTTGGTGTGTGTGTGTGTGTGTGTGTGTGTGTGTTGGGTGCAGCTGTGCTCCTGATACATGTCTTTGAGCTCCAGTACCCACTAATTGTTGAATATCCGGTTGAATCTGGAGGTGATGGGCACTGAGGTGTGTGTGTTTTCATGGAAACCAATTTACAATTTATATTCCACTTAATTAGATTTCTTTGGCAGCAAGGACAAAAGGGGGGAAAGTGAGAAAAAGAATGAAAGGAGAAAGGGAGCGACTGTGTACTTACTTACTCTTTCTCCTTGACTTGTTTGCCTGTTGTGTTGACATGATAAAGGGATATAGAGAAGTCTTTGGCTCTGATCAAATAAACATCTCTCAATTCCCCAATTAAAGAGCCATTTGTAAGATTAGTGTAGAGACTGCTATGTGCATTTTGTAAATGAATGACACATGGAGACCTCTCATATAAGTGAAGTGGAGTAAAAATGTGCAGAGGTGAGGGGAAAAAGAGATTTACATGAGCAGAGGAAGGACGTGTAGAATGAACAATGATGAACTTAGGAGTAAAGAACACGAGAAGGTGCGGTAAAATGAGAAGGTCAAAGAACAATTTGGGAAGAGAATGGAGGAGATGTGTGGGAAGGGTGAACTTAGGAGGGGGAGGGGTAAGAGAGAGAAACTCAGGGTTAAGCGAGCAAAACAAAGGGGTGGGAGTGAGGAAAGAAGAAAGGGGGAGAAAGAGAGATGCAAGGGAAAATATGAGGAGGAGTAAGAAGGAGAGTACTCATCTAGATGGGGTGACGAATGAGGCAGCAGATGATATGACCATCCCTTCTTGCAATCTCATCCTTTTGCCTTTGCCTTCAAGCTGCTCTCTATGAATCTTCTCCATCTCCCTTTCTATTTTGAAAGGAAGTGGAGAAAGAAGAAAATGATGGAAATGAAAGAAAAGACAGAAAGAGTAAGAAGTAGAGTAACATTCTGGACATGTAAAACAAAAGGTAGAGAAACTGAAGTTATAGAGGGGAGAGAAGAGCAGATGCCAAGAACAGGACTGGAGAAGGAAGAGACTGTGAGAGCAGAAGAGAGGACAAGAACAAAAAAGAGAGGAGCTGTCTAGCTGAGATGTAGAGAGGCAAAGGAGTAAGGACGAGTGGTCGGAGGAAATGACAAAGTATCACAAGACTTCCAGAAAAAAAAAACTGCACTAAGTTGATTATGTCTCACTGTTATCGACTGTCTGAGTGGCTATAATTGTTTCCTTTGCTGTGTGTGTGTATGTCTTAAAGAACGACAGAGAGAGAGAGAGAGAGAGAGAGAGGGATTTATGACAGGATATCTGTCACCTCATGCCCCACTCTGTTTAGTATGCTGTCCATCCTCTGTGTGCGTGTGTGTCTCTGCCTAATCCACACCACTTATTCTATTGGCCCGACTAACTGACAGCCTAATAGCAGGGCATGTTGAGTGCTGGAGCATCGTGCATGTGTGTGTGTGTGTGTGTGTGTGTGTGTGTGTGTGTCGGAAATAGAAAGAGACGGACAGTTTGGTATTGAATGAATGGTAGTGCATAGTGGAGCTGAAAGAGACCAAAGGTATAAAGAGTGAGAGCAGCCAGTCTCTCCATTCACTAATGTGCATTTAGAAAAAAGAAGGTGTTAATGCAAATGTGCATGTGGTGCAGTATTAGCGCGCAGTTACATCAGAAATTAATTTGTATACCCTTGGTGCTGAATGCCTGCTGATGCAGGGACCACTCACCACCCTTAGATGGCTTACCACCAATGCTGGCAATAGCCTGAATTGCCAGGCACCAATTAGCTGGAAGACCTATTCTAAGTGCTAACATAAGCTTTGGTTAATGCAAATACATTTTGTGAAATTTCAGCTGATTATAATCTCAGCTGCAGACAAGTTCAGAGGTGGAAAGACAAAATCATTTCCACAGTTCTCATTAACGTCGCGTAAAAGTCTCGTACATCTTCCATTTTTTAAAGTCTAGCGAGGAGTACATACAGAGTGATTGGGAAAAAAATAGTGGGAAAGTCATTTTTTCACCA